GGTGTTACAAGTTCACCCCCCCTTAATTGGGATTTCGTCCCCGAAATCCAAGTATCTAATCGAAAAGAGATGGGTATTGCTCCCTCATTGAGACTTCGGTCTCCCATGTCTCTTCTTCGACCTGATCACTTCTCCACAGAACCTTTACCATAGGAATCTCCTTGTTCCTAAGTTTCTTCACTTGTTGACCTACTATCTTCACCGGCTCTACCGCATATTGCAAATCCTCACGGATCTCTACCGGTGGTTTCTCAAGGATATGAGATGGGTCCCGTATGTACTTCTTGAGCATCGATACATGAAACTCGTCATGTATCTTCTCAAGCTCTGGTGTCAACTTGAGGCGGTACGCCACGGCCCCAATCCTTTCAAGGATCTCAAATGGACCAATGTATCGGGGATTAAGCTTCCCCCTCGATACAAATCAGATGATGCCCTTCCAAGGAGAAATCCTTAGAAAAACCTCATCACCGACCTCGAACTCCAACGGTCTCCGCCGTTTGTCAGCATAACTCTTCTGTCGGTCCTGAGCAGCCCTCAGTCTATCCTGAATGATCCTCACCTTAGCCTTGGTGATCTCAACCAGTTCTATCCCTTCGAGTTTGGCCTCGCCAACCTCGTCCCAACACAATGGTGTTCTGCATTTCCTCCCATACAATGCCTCATATGGAGGCATGCCGATACTTGCTTGATAACTGTTGTTATAAGCAAACTCCACTAGGGCCAAATGCTTGTCCCAACTTCCTTGGAACTCCAGCGCACATGCCCTAAGCATGTCTTCCAAAATCTGTATCACCCGTTCGGACTGTCCATCCGTCTGTGGGTGAAAAGTTGTGCTAAACTTCAGTTTAGTAGCCAACGATGCTTGAAACTTTGGCCAAAATCGGGAGGTGAATCGTGGATCCCTATCCGAGACAATGGATATCGGGACTCCATGTAATCTCACAATTTCCTCCGTGTAGAGCTTGGCCAATCTTTCAAGAGGATAAGTAATGTTGATAGGCAAAAAGTGAGCACTCTTGGTGAGCCTATCAACCACTACCCATACTGCGTCATAGTTGTTCACTGTTCGTGGTAGCCCCACCACGAAGTCCATGGTCACGTGCTCCCACTTCCACTCTGGGATGGTGAGTGGCTGCAAAAGCCCTGCCGGGTGTTGATGTTCTGCCTTAACTTGCTGGCAAGTAAGGCATCGACTCACATACTCTGCGATGTCTCTCTTCATACCTGACCACCAGTAACTTTCCTTCAAATCTCGGTACATCTTAGTACCTCCTGGATGCATAGCATAAGCTGAAGAATGAGCCTCCTCGAGTATAGACTTCTGGAGTTCTTCATTCTTTGGTATGCATACACGATCCTTAAACAATAATAGACCGTCACCGCGTACTCGGAAGTTCTCAACGGGCCCCTCAAGGATCCTTTCACGGATCTTCTGACATTCCTCATCAATGGCCTGACTTCGACTAATCTCGCCCAATAGGGTGGGCCTAACCTCAAATTGAGCAATGAGAGCCCCGCACGTGGACACCTCCACGCGTGCCCTCAATGCCTGCAGACAAGTAAGTAACGTCCCTGACGTACTCTTCCTGCTCAGTGCGTTGGCCACTACATTGACCTTTCCGGGATGATAGTCGATGATCAAGTCATAGTCCTTGATCAACTCCATCCATCTCCTCTGTCTCATATTCAACTCTTTCTGAGTGAATACATACTTCAAACTCTTATGATCAGTGTAAATGTGACATGTCTCCCCGTAGAGATAATGCCTCCAAATCTTCAATGCAAACACAACTGCCCCCAGCTCTAGATCGTGGGTAGGGTAGTTCACTTCGTGTTTCCTCAATTGCCTAGAAGCATAGGCAATCACTTTACCGTTTTGCATTAGTACACATCTAAGCCCTTGGATGCTAGCATCGCTGTAGATATCATACCCTATCCCTTGTATGGGTAGGGCAAGGACTGGTGCTTCGGTAAGTCGTTTCTTCAGTTCAAGGAACCCTTTCTCACACTTGTCGTCCCATATGAACTTGGCCCCTTTCTTTGTGAGCTTCGTTAATGGAGACACCAATACGGAGAATTTTTTAACAAATTTACGATAGTATCCCGCTAAGCCAAGGAAACTACGTATCTCTTTCACATTCTTGGGTCTCTCCCAATCCATGATAGCTTTTATCTTGGCGTTATCCACAGTTACGCCCGAACCAGATATGACGTGACCGAGAAAACCAATCTCCTTGAGACAAAATTCGCATTTAGAGAACTTGGCAAAGAGTTGCTTTTCCCTTAGCCGATCAAGTATAAGCCCCAAATGATGTTCGTGCTCCTCCTCACTCTTGGAGTATATCAAGATATCATCAATGAATACTATCACAAATTGATCTAAGTATTCACTAAACACCCGGTTCATCAAGTCCATGAATGCCGCCGGTGCGTTGGTTAAACCAAATGACATCACAAGGAACTCGTAATGACCATACCTAGTGCGGAATGCACTCTTAGGTATGTCGCTCTCCTTGATCTTCAACTGATGATACCCCGACCTCAAATCAATCTTCGAGAACACTATTGCCCCCCGAAGTTGATCAAACAAGTCATCAATCCTCGGTAAGGGATATCTGTTCTTGATTGTGACCTTGTTCAATTGTCGGTAGTCAATACACATTCTTAGTGTACCATCCTTCTTCTTCATGAAGAGTACGGGTGCCCCCCACGGTGAGTGACTGGGTCTGATGAATCTGTTGTCCAATAATTCTTGTAGTTGGACCTTCAACTCTTGAAGTTCGGCCGGTGCCATTCGATAAGGGGGAATCGAAATGGGTTTGGTTCCCGACTCCACTTCAATTACAAATTCGATCTCTCTATCGGGTGGAAGCCCCGGTAGGTCTTTGGGAAAGACATCCGGGTACTTGCACACGACTCTTACATCCTTGATGTCAACTTCTTTCTTCGTATCGTCCACCACGTAAGCAAGGTATGTGTGGCACCCCTTTCTCATCATCTTCCGTGCTCTCATCACGGATATGATGCAAGCATTAGATTTCCCCCGATCTCCTTCGAAACATAGCGTGTTTCCTTGATCATCCTCGAGCTCCAACACCTTGGTGTAGCAATCTACTCGAGCATGGTGCTTCTCAAGCCAATCCATTCCTAGGATTGCATCGAACTCCAACATGCTCAGAGGTACGAAATCACAAGTCAAGGGTTGACCCGTCACATCCACCTCACATGATGGATAGTAATGATTTCTCTCCACGTTGACTCCTAACGGTGTGGAGACTACCAACGTTTGCGTCAATGGTGTCAATGGCACGTCAAGGTCCTCGGCGAACGTCTCACTCACAAATGAGCGTTGTGTCCCGGTATCGATGAGGATCCTCGCACACCTACCATTGATCTTTAATGTTCCTACATTTATACACCATGTGAGATACATTTTCTAATGTTTTTACACATCTTTAGAAGGTTATTAGGTTCATACTAATGTTTGGAATCGAACGGGAGTCCAAACGTAGGAGAACGGAGCGAAAAAAATAAGTTTTCGGTTGCCAGGGGTCCACGCACGGCGTGCCTGCGGGCGTGCCTGGCCGAATTCCCTGGGAGAGCCACTGCCTCTCAGGCACGGTGCCACGCACGGCGTGCCTGCGGGCGTGCCTGGCCGAATTTCTCCACTGCCTCCCAGGCACGGTGCCACGCACGGCGTGCCTGAGGGCGTGCCTGGCCGAATTTTCTTGGAGAGCCACTGCCTCCCAGGCACGGTGCCACGCACGGCGTGCCTGAGGGCGTGCCCGGCCGGCAGTGGCTATTTTCAGCCTGATTTGGCCTAACTCACCCGGTTGGACCCCGGGGTGGCCCGCACTCAATCCCAACGACGTATATGATCAAAGTAAGCCTAGAAATGCCCAGAATAAGGGTATTACCTGTGACGGAGTCCGGGTTTGCTCGCGCATCCGCCTCGGTCATCGCGTAGACCCTTGCTTGGGCCCCACCTTGATTTACGGACGCGGCATGGCTTGTTGAAGCGCCACCTCTTCCCGTACCGCCGTTTGACGGGCCCGCACGGTTTCTTCCCGTCATGGTTCTTCCTCCGGATCCCGGAGCTCCTCCTCCCCCCAATTGTGGGTAATTGGCCTTCATGTGGCCCGTGTTCCCACATCGATAACACCTCGGGGGTGCGTTGCACTTCCCAAAGTGATTCTTTGAACAGTTGGCACACTTAGGAGGCCCCGTATTTTGAGAGGAGGATGCGTGCCACCGAGCATCCTTGTTCTTCTTCGCCGGTGGTGCCGGCGCCTTGAATGTACCACCACCCCCACCGTGGTTATTCTTCCGTGCTTGCTCGGGCGGCCCCGAATTATGCCATTTTCTCTTTTTCGCCTCCTCGGCGTCTCTTTCTTTTCTCTCATTCCATTGAGCCTCCCCAAGAAGGACCTGCTCCACCACCTCGCTAAAGGTCATGTGGCGCGAGTACGTAGCCCGATCACGGATGTCCAAGAGTAGGGCATCCCAAAAGTGCTCCGACATGCGGTCCTCATTGATCGCGTACTCCGGTAAGAACCTAGCCAAGGTTCTAAAATCTTGCTCCAACTGTTTAACAGAAACACCCTCCTTCTGTTTGAGGTTGGTGTACTCCCTACGCTTGACATTTTTCTCGTAGTCAGTGTAGTATTGGTCATAAAATTCCTGCTCAAAGTTCAACCACGAGACCTCCCCATGGTATTTTCCTTCTACACTCTCCCACCACGTGGAAGCTATCCCCTCCAGTAGCCGTGAAGCAACAGTCAACTTCACGTCCGGTGAAATTTGCATGTCCTTTGCCGCATCCTTCACCTTCTTTATCCAATCGGCGGCAATGGTAATGTCACCGGTGCCGTCAAAGGACTTACACCCCAAGGCCCTAGCCTCCTTTAGGTACTTGGAGATTCTCACGCAAAAACCTCCTTCACGCCCATCATGTGACGCCGCGGGAGTGGCCCTTGAAGCTCCCCGGCTTCCTTGACCCGAACCACCGCGAGAGCCACGCCTTGCTTGGCGCCTAAGGTCTCTCCTCACTTTCTCTTTTTGATACCACTCAAGTAATTCGCCCATTTGGGCGAACTTGGCATCACTCTCTTCATCATCATCATCGGTGTATGTGTCACCCCCATCATATGGGGTCTCCTCATGCCCCGTTTCAGGAACATATGTAGAGTCGTAGTCTTCGGTGTTAGTTTCATACACCGAACTAACATGGCCGTCGCTCACAGTTTGAGCCCTATGACCTCCACGACTTCCACGGCCTCCACGGCCTCCTCTTGAACCCCGAGATGCAGCCCGGCTTCCCCTTTGGGATGCTACCGGCGCCTGCCCCCTCGGATTGTTCCTGGTTGCCATTCGCCTGCCCTCCATTTCTGAAAGAAATATGGAGGAGTCATTAGACTCCTATAAATGTCAATTGACGGAAGAACGTTACAGACACGTATTGGCCCAAGTCACCATCATACCAATTGTTAAGGGTACCGTCTTAACAATTAGAGGCCTTGCAACTTTAAGCACCAATAGTCCTATAAACGTCAAAATACAATGCTCATGGTTTTCGGTAAAAATTCTTTTGTAAAATCTTTTGTGAGAGGTTGATTATATAGTTTAGAACTGAGATGGCTCTGATACCACTTAATTGTCACGCCCCATACCGCAATCCAAGCGCGTGTACAACCGCCGTATAACTAAGTGACGTCACCCACGAGTCAACCTCACTTAATTACACAAGGCGTTCGAGAAAACAATCCATCCATACTCAGTAGTAAACATACATAACAACATCACATTTAAACCAATGAATAGCGGAAATATTCAACGGTAAGTCATGGGCCACAACCGGCCAACAACATGGGCATACAAGCCCCAAAAATAGTTTATAGTAAAAACAAATATCCATGAGCAAGTGTTCGGTAGTTTGAAAGAAAATAAGGAAGCATGAACCACGTCTTTCTGATTTGATATCACCCGTGAGAAGGTGCAAGTAGCAAGCCCTAGCTTCAACCTGAAAATGGTGGGGGGACCCGAAGGGGTCAGTACAAGTACCGAGCGAGTAGCAGGCTAAATATAGAATAACTAGCGTTTCAAGTATAAGACCCAAACATAGGGTGATACTTAAATAAATAGTCTTTTCCCCAAGTTATGAAATACTTATTAGTATATATATACTTGGAAAATATCCAATCCGTAGATCACCATTTTATTTGGGAAAAATAGTAATAGTCAATATTCTTGACTAAAAACCCCATGTAACACCCCCATTTTCCCTCCCAAAGTAATACTTGAAATAATAGATTTATTTATAATAACTTGATTTATTCTTTTAAACAGATAAAAAGTTTTGCAGCGGAAATAACATTAATTGGGAAATGGGTGTTACCGCCACATCCGGTCATCTCTTAACCGAATGCACAGGCAATCACCAAACAATGTAAAACAAGTGTTCAACATAATTGGATTGTTTATTTATGACTAGGTTTGACTAAGGCATCTCTAAACCGCTCTCGTGGTCATACAATCATCAGTCCACATAAGCATCATCACCTGCACAAATAAAGTGCTGAAAACAAAACAAAGAAAAGGAAACAAAAATTAGCTTTAGAGCTAAGTAAGTACTACCCAACCCCGTAAAATAATCAGGTTTGGCTAAAAATAGTTTTTCATAAATACTATATAAAAATGACACACTCCACCAAAATTCTTTTCTCTTTGATCACTTCTTTACTAAAGTCGTCAACTTTTCTTCGAAAATACTATAGTAACTCTTCTCTTAGAACTTCTCAAAATTCACTTCTTCTCTATCTTCCTAGTAATTTAGAAGGGCGGTGCCCAACACTCTGGTTGAGCCCGGTGGTTACGTTATTATGTACGGCCACCCCGGGACTTTTGCCGGTACCACAACTGCTAATGGAAACGAAACGAATACCTTAAGTGTGCACACCCCCTAAAAGGGATTCCAAGCCCTCCGAGTAGTAAGTCGTCGTGAGTAATCGGGACTCAGTCTACCAACTACCCCACCTTTAAAATTCTTGAATGATTAGGGACTACTACTACTATAACTTCTTCTTAAAAGGGATCATAGATCCAAACGTCACTTCAAACTCAAACTGTACTTCTTAGTAGTAGCAACCTTAATCACCCTCCACATTTATCCGGATGTGGAAAACCGACACCACGGATTTCTCCCGGGTGCTCACTTCTTATAAAAACGTAAATTTTATCTTGACTTTAAATATACTTCCAAAAAAAATATTTCTCACTCTCTTTAAATAGTCTCAAAGATATTTAAAAATATTTAATACCCAAAAGTACTTAGTTTGCACTTCTCAAATACCATAGATCTAATATCTCCTCAAAATCACATACACATAATTCAAAATTCACACTTAATCATGTAATGCATAATAAGCATATAATACGAGGAAATCATTTTGGATCGGCAGAGAAACTTACCTTAAGTCCTGATGCTCCTAATTCTCTTTCTCAAATCCGGTCTCTAAATGTTCACCTTTTTAATTAAGATGATATAATTAGTCACTTATTCTATTTGTAATAACTTATCCGATTTTCACCTTTTACTGTATTTATTCAAATTTATTAATATAATTAATTAAATAATTATTCAAACTTAGCTTATCCATTCATTAATCACTTTTACTAATCCATTACTTTGTTACTATATGGATTCGGCCAATAATTTTTAATTACTAATGATCCAATATCGTGTTTTACTATCCGAATTATATTTCAATTACATATCCAAATTTCACAATTTCTTTATCAACATTAATTTACTCTACTTATAAACATCAAAATAATTAATTATATTTTAATATTATTAAGTTATACAAATTATAAACATATTCGAATTACCTTCAATTATAGTTTATTACTAATATTTTCGTACTTAATGACTATCTTAATTAAATTCGGTAATTAATTCAATAATTCTTTATTAATTTCAATCTAGTCCGATAATAAAAAGGTATCAAATAATTAACTAGCTCAATTCGTCATAATCTTTTTATTATTGACACCTATATTATTAATCCAAAGATTTTGTTAATAATCTGAATTATATTTAATTAAATTATTCAAATTTCATAATTACCTTAATCAACATTATTAGTGAATCCAAATGTTCTAGCAATTAACTAATCATCATTAACTAAACCTGATTTTATTAATCTACTTAACACTTAATATTTCCGAGTCCGTAATTTAATTTTATGAATCTACTTCCATTAATCCAATAATTAGTGAAAATAATACCTATCCAACTTTGTTTAATCTGATTATGTTATTAAGTCCAAATGACTAAATATTATTTTGATATAATGTACGTTTATTAGTTTTTATTAATTACTCATCAATTCATTTTAGCATTATGTAATTAGGTTATCTAACAATTAACAAATTTATCTAAGTGATTACTATCAATCAACCAAGCCAACTTCCTCATTAATATTTCTCATCTCAAATTTGTCAATTTTGCAGATTGTTATTCCTATTATTATTATTATTATTATTATCATCATTATTATTATTGTTATTATTATTATTATTATTATTATTATTATTTCTTTTATTATAGCCCAAGTACTTAAGGTTGTGGTTGAACATTTAAAATTAGGCCCATTTATTAAATAGGCTCAAAATTTCAGCCCAACCACCAAAGAAGAATTGAATTGCAGAGGCAAAGCCTCTATGTCATCTTCTTCCATGAAAAGTGTCGGCACGAAGGAAAACAAACGCAGAGAAACGAGGCTAACCTACGGTGATGATGGGAAGGGCGGTGTGTCTATGGAAGGAGAAGGACGGCAGTCGGCTGGTGTTGGCAGCAGAAGTTGCTCCATTCTTCGACGGCAAACCAGTCCGGCGGCCACCCCGGTGAGCTCGTTCTTCCACGTTTCACGACCGTTTTTATTGATTCTTCTTCCGTTGGCTTCCTCTCACGAAGGGAAATGATTTAATGTGATTTTTGGCTTCGATTTGGGGTTATAATGAAGGGTCGAAAATTTGACTCATATAGGCGTATATGCGTATATCAGTCTATGTATATATATGTAACTAAATATATGCACGGGTGTTAAGCTCAGCTTTGGTGTAGATGAAAGTGTAGGTCGAGGCCGGTATTTATACCGATAGATAGAGGGTTATGGGTTTGACATCGAACGCATCCCATTGGCTTTGAGCTTGTTTGGTTTTACCTGGAAGACTCCCAGTCCGTATATAAATACATATATGTTGGTCTGGATACGTAAGTTATAGAGCTAGGGAGGAATAGATTGATCAATGTATGACATCCCATGTGGGTGTACCTGATTTGTAAAGATATGGTTAATGTATGATGTATTTTTGTAATACCCCAATTTTAGCGAACTAGTTACATTAATCAGTTATTTTATTTGGTCAGTTCAATAAGTATATATTATGAATAATGTGATTTATTGTTTGATCATGTGTTGTTCTGGCAGGTAACGTTGACCGGTAAGCTCTAATAATTTTTTTAAAAAAAATAATGTTTTAAAGCTTTATCAGTTTATATTGAAAGAGAAAATAATTTTAATGGTGTTAGAAACATTTATTTTTAAAGATAATTAGAGACCCGAATCAGTTATCTTTAGCCCGAATTAGTATGTTACTCAAAAAGCCCTAGAAAGGAGTATGGTATAAATATACACACGACATCTCAACCATAAGTTCTATCTACGTTAGCCGCAGTACCCGCACTTCTCAAAGTTCCTCTCTTTTCACCCTTCTTCAATTCACATACCGAAGCATTGTTTTTCAGCCGTGAATCGATCTAAAGCCGGGTGAGTTTTAATTCTTCTTCCTCTTGCTACGATACAGATGTATTAATATATTTTGACAATGATTTGTAAAATCGGTATTCAAGGAAAAGCTTTAAAATCTGCTAACTTCTGTGATGAGCCGGTTCTTGCTCTGCAAATTGATAATTTTGTGTCTAGGTTTCTTGTATAAAATTCGCCAGCCATCAGTTAGTCTCCACTAAAATTGCTTTTCATCATTGGTTCGATCTTTAGGGGGGGCAGAGTAAGATTTTCAATACAAAGCTTCTAATAAACATTAGACCTATTTTAATTTAATAACAAAACTATTTAGCTGCTGCTATTTTCAGTTTAAACAAATTTATTTATAGTTTTGAAGGCTGGAAAACGATGGTTTTGAGGACTAACTGAGTTGTACCGATGGGTGTATACAAGTTTTAATTGAGCATTGTGGAATTCTAGTAGCTGGAGAAAAAATATTTACTCATCCCATTGGAAAGATAAACAATTTTTCGGTAATCCTAGGAATAAGATTTTTGCCTTTTGGGATTTCTAAACTACTCTTTGCCAAATTGCAGCAGTTCGTTTTTATTAAAAGAAAGCTGATTAAAATAATACTTTATTTTAGAAGAAACTTAACTTACAGATTTGAACGCAGAGCTCGTGAACAAAAACACATCGATTAAAAACCAGAACTAGTACTCCTAATTTTTATGCGCATTTGTTTAAAGAGCAACTTCCGGGAAGATCGTATAAGTCGGTGATGAAGTCCTATTAGAATATAGCAAGTTCTGATTACACTTTTATTTCTAATTAAAGATTTAAGAGAACGTCTTATCAGAAGACGTTATCAAGGTGCCACACTTATCTGAGTATTTTGAGTTCAGCTATTAACAGGTAAGTTCACTACCACCTGTACATGTTTGTTCAACCAAATGAAAGAAAGAAGTCTGGTTGATTTTTAATAGATAATTTTAGACTATTTGCTATTATGTGAACTATGTGAATTATGTGATGAGTTCTTTTATTGCTAGATTAAGTTATGTTTATTATCTGGCATAGTCAAGATTTGTTAGTACTTTCGTTTCCAGATTTAATGATGTTTAGTCAAACGTCACCATAAAAAGAACTAATACTTAAAGTGAAAGATTAAGTGATATGTACTCGGGAATTAGATCCCTCAGATTAGCAGTTTTAGTTTTAGATAGTCCGATATGTTTAGTGGGTCGCTCCCCTGAGCTGTCGGATTGGCGCCATTGAGTACATATCACGGGCCCACAGTTAAAATTAGCCACAAAGAGTTTATAGAAAGTTTAATGAGATCTCTTTCAGAAGGTTTTTACAGAAAGTTGTTTTTAAGATCTCTTTCAGAAAGTTGTTTTTGAAATCTCTTCCAGAAAGTTTTACAGAGATGTTTTGAGAAGAAATTTTGAGATCTCTCCAGAAGTTTTGAGAAATTATTTTAGAAAATATTTTCCTTTGGAGATCTCTCTCAGAATGTATTTGAGAAGTTATGTGTTAGTTATTTGTTCAGTGCATGCTTATAGCCTAAATTTATCTATTGATAAATTGGCCTAGACTTCTAGATATTTTTGTGGAGCCATAGTGACTTACTAAGCGTAAAGCTTATCAGTTTTCTTTCTTCGCATGTACAGATACTAAGGGTAAGGCCAAGGCCTAGGAAGATGATGAGGGAGTGAGACGCGTGCCAAGATGAGTTAACGGGAACGACCTTGGCGACTTTTAGCTAGATATTATTTTGTTTCAGTATTTTAGTGTTATAATAAAGAGATTATTATTATTTATTTTATTTGAGGATTTAATGTTTAAATAAATTCCTGGATCCAGGTGGTTGTCACATTTGCTGGTGATAACTATATTTTATTAAGTTTTTATTTAGAGTTGTTTTAGTTAATACTGAGATTCTATCAGGGTTATTTTCTTAAATAGACGACCGTTATATTGCACTTATTTTTTAAAAAGTAATAAGTTAGTGTAATGTATCCTTTAACCCTGAGAGGGGCGTTACAATTTTATTTTAGGGTATTTCTACCGTACCTTCTAAAATAAACATGGTACCGGTACCTAGAGGTTTTTAACCAATCACATTCTACTATCAAGCCACGTCATCTTTCTACTCACATTAGTAATAAGTACTACGGCCGGTGTATAAATTTTGATTCTTTGCATTTTAGTCCCTAACAAAAAAAACAGTTAGCAAGTGAATGAGTGGTATCGTAAAAAAAAGTGAATGGGGTTTGGCTGGGCATCCAATTAATCATTTTTTTTTGTTTTGACAAAATTAATTTTCTTTTGTACGCTAGCAGTCTAGCACCAATAGGCCAATCTGGGGGAGACTATTGTATTTAACTTCCAAAAAAAGAATATACACTATCTTTATATTCAATTCTATTCTCATCATAACTGAATAGAAAATTCATCTTTTAATTTGTAATAAAACATAAAATAATACAAATTTAATTTATAAAAAAAATTAAACTAAAAAAATCAAAATTTTTTAAAAATTAATAAAAATATTAAAAATTATCAAATTAAAAAGTAAAAACTTTAAAACAAAAAATACATAAAACACTTAAAAATATAACACAATTATGTAGGTCTTTCTCACAGCCCCTGCCACCTCCTAGCAACGCCACCTCCGATCGGCGACGAAAATGTCGTTTTGTGTATTAAAAAAGTGTTCATTATCTATTAAAAATGTCATGAAGATGACATTGTTACTATCTAAAAATGTCAATTTTTCTCTAAAATTTTTATCAAGATGACATTACTGACACATGTTGGCATTGTTTTCCGGTGATCGGAGCTGTGGTGCGGAGAGGTGATAGAGGTTGCGGGAAAGACCTCCATATTATATATATATACACACACATATATATAGGGGTGATATCACATACAAACTAGTCCTCTCATGCTAACCTACAAACTTTCACAAACTGTGCATCTTCACATAATTTGTACTGCATATTGAAGTCCAAAGTGTTGCATATTATTTGTATTGCATATTGAGCCTCAAAGTGTTGCATATTATTTCTATTGCATATTGAAGTTCACAGTGTGCATCTTTACATTATTTGTACTGCATATTGAAGTTCAAAGTGTTGCATATTATTGAGTTTGTAGGTTAGTATTTTAAGCATGGTTTGTATTTGATCTCTTGTCTATATATATATATATATTAATTTAATATTTTATTATTATTATTTGTATTTAATATGTATTTTCATATTTTCCCCATTTTCATTATAATTAAAGTTATGTTGTTAATTTTATGTGTAAAAAATAATGAAATATGAAATGTATTAAAAAAAAGCAGTAGAATTTGAAAGGTAGACCTATTTAAAGTATGTGAATAGTGTAAATTTATATATGTTGCGATAAAAAAAGGATGCTAGTAACAAAATAATTAAAATGGACTTCTACACTAACTTTGCCAATTCAGACAGAAAAAAGTAACTTCAATATTACTTTTTTTTATTATTATACAATTCAGCGCACAAAATTAAAAGTTCGTGTATAATGAAAAAATTGATTGATAAGTCTAATAAACCGAATATACGGGTCATCAATAGGTTGTGAATATGTTTCTTGGATCCGTCACTGAATGAGAGTTTCCGAATTATCAAGAGAAATTATGAGTATAACCTGTAAAAGAATATAGGATGCATAAGGAAATAAAAGGGGATGAAATATATGCAAATAATGCGGGGATAATGGATTTAATCGGTAGTTCACTTGTTAACCGCTTCCTCATATCATTAGGGACTAAAAATGCAAATAATCAATCTTAATATGCTAATATGATTAGGAGGTAACGTGGCTTCATAGTCTTAGGTGATTGGCTAAAAAACTCGATGTACAAGTACCTAGTTTATTTATGTAGGTACCATAGAAAAACCCTTTATTTTATCTTATTTTTGGCCATATTGGTTGACATCTCCGACCACCATATGTGATTGAGTGTGCAAAGCATATGGCTACCATGTGCATATTATTGATATGGAGTATTACTTGGTTATTAGATGAATGATGATGTTATGTGTTTCGTATATCCTTGCTATTGCAGCCATATTATTGTTGTTATGCATTATTATTAGTTTTTAGAAGTCAACTCTTTCAACATTGTATTCTTGTATGGTATTTTTTTTATTAACTCGTATCTTCAAATTCATATATCACTTTTATTATTTATGTCAAGTCTTTTCCGGTCAACAATATTATTATAAAAATGTCACTTTTATTATTGAAACATTTTTATCTGATTAAAAATGTCACCAATGTTAAGATTTTATCTGATTCACTTGATTATTAAAAAAATCACTTTCGTAATATTTTGCTAACTAATAAAATTTGTTTATTTTATTTTATTAAATTTTTCGAGGTGTCACATTCTACCCTCCTTAAAAGATGTTTCGTCCCGAAACATAAACTAAAGAAAATTTTATCCGCAAATGAATACCACATCTTAGTTAATATTAAATTTTATTTTATTAAGTTTATGGAGTGTCACACCCCAACCCACCCATATACCTATGAGTGTATAGGACTCCTCCTTGTCCCTATTTGTATATCATAATCTATGAGTTTTAGGATCATGATCCTTGGATACTCCACCGGTTTGTGAGTGTTAAGGACTCATAAATCTTAGGGTCCTCCACCAAGTTTTGAGTGTTAAGTACTTTTAAGTACTAGGGTCCTCCACCAAGTTTTGAGTGTTAAGTACTTTTAAGTACTAGGGTCTTCCACCAAGTTTTGAGTGTTAAGTACTTTTAAGTACTAGGGTCCTCCACCAAGTTTTGAGTGTTAAGTACTTTTAAGTACTAGGGTCCTCCACCAAGTTTTGAGTGTTAAGTACTTTTAAGTACTAGGGTCCTCCACCAAGTTTTGAGTGTTAAGTACTTTTAAGTACTAGGGTCCTCCACCAAGTTTTGAGTGTTAAGTACTTTTAAGTACTAGGGTCCTCCACCAAGTTTTCCTATGATCAACCTCCTATCAACCTAGATAGAGTCTATATCATACTTAGTCATTCATAACTAGTTCATTACATAAAACTTATGTATCACAATTCATGCAAATCCATGCAATTATATAAATGTACAATTAACTAATATCAACCGATATTAATTAATCCATTATCCATCGGTCAACGTTGTCGTTGACCGCCATTCAAGCCTTGTACATATCAACTTAATCATCATGTAATTAAGTTAATAATAATCATTTGTGCTTCTTTTACATTCCCAACAAATATGCATTTCATATTATTTCTCATATCATGTTTCATGTATAAACAATTAATTCCTTTCATACAAACTTATCTATGTTGGCTAACCACATGTTTAAATATCTTTTAAACATCATTATGAACACTTATAACATTTATTTAGGTAATCTTATAATTAACCCAAAAGTTATAAGATATTAAGCCGTTCACTCACCTTGAACTAGCGTTATGAAGTTCTACCCTTCTTGGTTGAACTCCGGTGAAACTCTGGCAAGTTTTGGTCAACTCCGGCGACAACTCCGGCGACTTTTCCAACTTTGTGAAATCACTTGAAATACCCTTTACAAGTGCCTAACAAGGTTTTATAATCATAAAACCCATATTAATACAAATAACCTCAAAAGGGTTATTTTCCGGTGAACCGGTCGTTTTGGCTTCTAAGTCCGTTTTTGGACGTAGAACCATTTTCCAACCCATAAATCCATACTTATAACATGTGGAATCATACTAAGGGTCCTTCATATGATATATATACCTCATATGATAGAAGAAAAATAAAGGAAAAGTTATAATAAGGTGATTACCTTAATTTTACACACTTTTCCTAGCCTTTTTCCTTCTTTAATCCCACTTCTTGGATCCTTCTTGGTTGAGCTCGAGTTGCAGCAATGGAGGAGGGTTGGAGAGATTTTTCTTCCTCTTTCTTGGGTAGCTTGGTCGAGTACAATGAGGAGGAAGGAGGGGGATGGGTTCCTTTTGTCTCATTTAGCTAATAAGTGAGAGAGGGACCCATTTGGTGTCTCTCAATGTCTCACCCTCTCATCATGTGTACCATTGGCCTTCCTTTGGTCAATTTGAGCACACAAAAACGTGGGGTGGCCCCCACTCTTGTGGGAGGTCATCCCTTTGTGTCCCGGTGTGTACAATCGGTCCCGAAAGTTGTATTTTTCGGACTGTTTTAAATGTATTTTATTTTATCGGGTCAAATAAAATATATTATGTGCTCTTACTCATTATGACATGTATAATGAGTATACATTCCCCAACTTTAATTTATAAGCCTCCGAAATTCAGTTCGGGCTGTTATCTGTTAAATTACCAGTACCGGTAATTTGGGCTTCTCTTGACCAATCGGTCAACTCTGGGCCTTTCCCTGGCCCAAATGAAATATCCACCACTATATGTTTATTATCTAGACCAAGATGAATAAAATATAAGGTCTCGGGAATGTCGGGCGACCCCCGCTCCCGGTGTGGGTCCCACGTGCAATTTAACTATTCACGCGAATGAAATAATAAAAATTTACAACTTCGTAAATTCATTAATCCCTTAATAAGGTTCAATACATTATTTTCGTAAAAGTAACTATATTTGGGGACGGTGTTACAAGTTCACCCCCCCTTAATTGGGATTTCGTCCCCGAAATCCAAGTATCTAATCGAAAAGAGATGGGTATTGCTCCCTCATTGAGACTTCGGTCTCCCATGTCTCTTCTTCGACCTGATCACTTCTCCACAGAACCTTTACCATAGGAATCTCCTTGTTCCTAAGTTTCTTCACTTGTTGACCTACTATCTTCACCGGCTCTACCGCATATTGCAAATCCTCACGGATCTCTACCGGTGGTTTCTCAAGGATATGAGATGGGTCCCGTATGTACTTCTTGAGCATCGATACATGAAACTCGTCATGTATCTTCTCAAGCTCTGGTGTCAACTTGAGGCGGTACGCCACGGCCCCAATCCTTTCAAGGATCTCAAATGGACCAATGTATCGGGGATTAAGCTTCCCCCTCGATACAAATCAGATGATGCCCTTCCAAGGAGAAATCCTTAGAAAAACCTCATCACCGACCTCGAACTCCAACGGTCTCCGCCGTTTGTCAGCATAACTCTTCTGTCGGTCCTGAGCAGCCCTCAGTCTATCCTGAATGATCCTCACCTTAGCCTTGGTGATCTCAACCAGTTCTATCCCTTCGAGTTTGGCCTCGCCAACCTCGTCCCAACACAATGGTGTTCTGCATTTCCTCCCATACAATGCCTCATATGGAGGCATGCCGATACTTGCTTGATAACTGTTGTTATAAGCAAACTCCACTAGGGCCAAATGCTTGTCCCAACTTCCTTGGAACTCCAGCGCACATGCCCTAAGCATGTCTTCCAAAATCTGTATCACCCGTTCGGACTGTCCATCCGTCTGTGGGTGAAAAGTTGTGCTAAACTTCAGTTTAGTAGCCAACGATGCTTGAAACTTTGGCCAAAATCGGGAGGTGAATCGTGGATCCCTATCCGAGACAATGGATATCGGGACTCCATGTAATCTCACAATTTCCTCCGTGTAGAGCTTGGCCAATCTTTCAAGAGGATAAGTAATGTTGATAGGCAAAAAGTGAGCACTCTTGGTGAGCCTATCAACCACTACCCATACTGCGTCATAGTTGTTCACTGTTCGTGGTAGCCCCACCACGAAGTCCATGGTCACGTGCTCCCACTTCCACTCTGGGATGGTGAGTGGCTGCAAAAGCCCTGCCGGGTGTTGATGTTCTGCCTTAACTTGCTGGCAAGTAAGGCATCGACTCACATACTCTGCGATGTCTCTCTTCATACCTGACCACCAGTAACTTTCCTTCAAATCTCGGTACATCTTAGTACCTCCTGGATGCATAGCATAAGCTGAAGAATGAGCCTCCTCGAGTATAGACTTCTGGAGTTCTTCATTCTTTGGTATGCATACACGATCCTTAAACAATAATAGACCGTCACCGCGTACTCGGAAGTTCTCAACGGGCCCCTCAAGGATCCTTTCACGGATCTTCTGACATTCCTCATCAATGGCCTGACTTCGACTAATCTCGCCCAATAGGGTGGGCCTAACCTCAAATTGAGCAATGAGAGCCCCGCACGTGGACACCTCCACGCGTGCCCTCAATGCCTGCAGACAAGTAAGTAACGTCCCTGACGTACTCTTCCTGCTCAGTGCGTTGGCCACTACATTGACCTTTCCGGGATGATAGTCGATGATCAAGTCATAGTCCTTGATCAACTCCATCCATCTCCTCTGTCTCATATTCAACTCTTTCTGAGTGAATACATACTTCAAACTCTTATGATCAGTGTAAATGTGACATGTCTCCCCGTAGAGATAATGCCTCCAAATCTTCAATGCAAACACAACTGCCCCCAGCTCTAGATCGTGGGTAGGGTAGTTCACTTCGTGTTTCCTCAATTGCCTAGAAGCATAGGCAATCACTTTACCGTTTTGCATTAGTACACATCCAAGCCCTTGGATGCTAGCATCGCTGTAGATATCATACCCTATCCCTTGTATGGGTAGGGCAAGGACTGGTGCTTCGGTAAGTCGTTTCTTCAGTTCAAGGAACCCTTTCTCACACTTGTCGTCCCATATGAACTTGGCCCCTTTCTTTGTGAGCTTCGTTAATGGAGACGCCAATACGGAGAATTTTTCAACAAATTTACGATAGTATCCCGCTAAGCCAAGGAAACTACGTATCTCTTTCACATTCTTGGGTCTCTCCCAATCCATGATAGCTTTTATCTTGGCGTTATCCACAGTTACGCCCGAACCAGATATGACGTGACCGAGAAAACCAATCTCCTTGAGACAAAATTCGCATTTAGAGAACTTGGCAAAGAGTTGCTTTTCCCTTAGCCGATCAAGTATAAGCCCCAAATGATGTTCGTGCTCCTCCTCACTCTTGGAGTATATCAAGATATCATCAATGAATACTATCACAAATTGATCTAAGTATTCACTAAACACCCGGTTCATCAAGTCCATGAATGCCGCCGGTGCGTTGGTTAAACCAAATGACATCACAAGGAACTCGTAATGACATCATAAGATTGAAATACGTAAAATTCATTTCTTACTAACACTTTTACTTATCTAAAAGCGCTTAAAAGCACTCATTCTGTATATTTAGTTAGACAATACACAATGTTCCAATTTTAACTCTTAAAAGATTTGTTTTCTTACACCATTTTAATGATTTTTTTAGATTTTACTGAATCTTAAAAATGAATTTTCACTATATTTTACACTGGAATGACAAATTGTTTGTAACTAATATTTATTTGAATGAAGGCATGTATATTTCTCATGCCAGAATGTTATATTCTTTTATCCGTTTAATTTACAGGGAAATGGGTTATCATGAGAATTTCTATACTTTAAAGGGTGGTGCTATAAATGTGTTTTGATTTTTCAGAAAGTATGCATTTGAAATGTTCCAAGAAATATTACGCCACATCTATCTTACAACATGGGCAAAACAGAATTCCATTATGTACTTTAAGGATTAAAACCTGTGATGTATATTTTCATTTATGTATGTACTTGTGAAGTGTTTCTATTTTGTATGTCTATATGTATAGACATATCCTTGTGTGTTTAAACTTTATGTTGAGATTTCTTTTATGATTGGATTTACAAAACATTGAATACACTAATAAATCTAAGCTCAGAATTATCAGCTTTTTGTATGATGTTGATGATCTCTTTATCATAGTTTTGGTTGTGTATTTCAGACTGAAATAAAATGCCTTCATTGAACTACTACACATAAAAAAATGTTTGGCCAGAATCCTTCTATTTGGTTTTGATCAGTGACAAACTTTCATTAGGGATTAGCTGTGGAGATTGGAGAGACCCATTGCTGCAGGTACATGCTTATTTATAAGATAGACATCAAGAAATTATTTGAAGCCTAGACATTTGCTTACATTTCTAAAGTTGTATTCTGATTTGCTTTTCACCTCATCAACAATTGTAGGCTCAAAACTTTAAATGAAAGAAGAGAGGTTGAAGGACCGAATGGGTTCAATTGTAATCGCGTCCTCATTTATAGTGAAAATTGGATAATCCTTCCTTGAGAAGATTCACAATCCCCAAAACACAAGATGGCCATGGTAAGGGTCGGTGTGCACAAACACCTCAAGACACGGGCAGGCGGGATTTGATTCATGCTGATTTTTACTAATTTAAAGTGTTACTAAAGCTGAAAACTGTAAAGTTCAATCACCATTCACACTATTTTTACTGTTTGATTTTCTACTATTCCACTTTCTACTATTCCACTTTCTACTATTCCATTTAACTTTTCACTATTTGGAAGGTAGGATTTCTACGCCACATGTTGGATACCATACAATTTTATCATTTTTGATTTTTTATTTGATATTTATTGATATGTCCTTGATGTTGACAGTTGTGGGAGGGAACAATATTCCTAGAAATTCTTTTGCTTTTATATTAGAATAGATTTAAATGGTACAAGTGAAAACTGTCATATTGCAATAACAAAAAGAAAAATGTGTGGTGTACACAAAATGTGTACACTTTTTTTGTACACTTGTCTGCGGGGGACAGACGAGTGTACACTGTACACATTTTGTGTACACCTAGCACAGCTCTAGCAAAAATGCATCTTATACATAGATATCGTCAAACAATACAGAAGCATGGTTATTGAGGCGGATGAGCGGCGGGCGCGTCCCCCTCTCGAGCCACCGCCATGGAGTGTAAGAGAGTCTAGGGTTTTGAAGAAGATGAGTGAACTCTGTCTTAATTTCGTTTTATTTTGTTTGTGTTTTTCTTTTGAATTGCATATTGTTTTGGATATATTCTTTTTTCCTAGCAGAAAGATTCTAGAGTTTAAGTCAGGTGATGAGAAGTCCGGTTTGCCTGTCATTGACTCAG